CAGTTAGTATATATATATATGTATATATATACAGTTAGTATATATATATGTATATATATACATATATGTATATATATATGTGTGTGTGTACACACACACACACGTATATATAAAATCACTAACTATAAATATGTATATATATTTACTTTTTTTCCCAACCATCCCAGAACTACTGTCATCCAGAACTTTTGTCCAGAAAGGTTGGGTATAAGAGGTAGAAAACCATTTCATAGAAAAAATTTTCATAGAACATAACTAGAATTAAGTCTGAATCTCCTAGGCTCTCTTCAGCCAGGCGTATGAAGAGAAAAATGCTAGATCAGGACGAAATCCTGAATTTTCAGAAATTTCAAGACTGATCCCCACAAACTCCCCCTTGTTTCATTCCGATCACACCCAGTGGCTGCCTGGTGAAGGATCATCTCGTTGTGGGGATGGCTGCATTTAATAATTAAACTGACTTACTAAGGAGGGTGTAACAGGAGAGGGTGGTGGCAGTAGAGTCACACTGTCAGCTCGGTGTCGATAACTTCTGTGATAATAGGCACGAATTGTCCAGAAAGCCGGACACGAAAGGTCAGCAGCAATGACATGTCTCCAAGGGAGGCAGGTCTGAGAGTCCTCTGTTATCCGGACACTAAGGATGGGGCAGGAGGGAAGGACAGGGTGGATGCCAAGGACGTGCCCTTCCTCACAGGCAGCAGACGCTCCTCCTGTGAAATCTGGGCAGTGTAGGTTCTTGCTTGAGTTGTTTCTTCACGGGGCATGTGCGGATCAGATTCAGCGGAATACTCAGGGTCCTCCAGGGTCTCCGGAGTCCCTTCTCTGTGCCTCTCTCCTTGCTGGTGGCCTTCCCTGGGTGATCTAGACACCTTGGCTTCCCTGGACCCCGGTCCATGTCCCCACTTTAGGTTCTTCCTGGGTTTCCTTTTCTGCTCCTTGGTCTAGAAACTTTCTCCAAGCAGAAAGCAGGGCCAGTTGTAGGTTTTTCTGCCTTGCAAGGGCCACTGTCCTCCATTGCTTGACCTGCAGTATCTTGAGAGCTGCTGTTTGATACAGTTTATACAGTGTTTCAGTTGTAGGTGGGACAGTGAATCTTCACCCAAAGCAGAAATCTCAGGGAAATAGTTCTCATGCCTGGAAATGCGTACTTCCTTCCTTCTGGGAGGCCTTTGGTGTGTGGAGTTGAGTCACTTTAATCAGGCGGTGGGCAATGTGTGGGATTTGCTGTTGTCACTGTTGCCCCTGGAGCACCACAGTCTTCAAATCCCTCCAGCATTACCTATTACCTTGTGCTTCGGGGGGGCTCGTTTTCTAGAGCATTTATCTGAATGTCTGCTCCAACCTCACCGTTAGGTCTTCTCTCTTTGGTGTGCCTCAGAGAGGGTCTCTCCCCCACGTTCCTGCCCCTCGCCCAGCGGTCCAGGAGCAGACTGCCGTTGCCTGTTATTTGATGCTTGTTATCCTGGTTATGGGATAAAGACAGGTGGCCTTCTCTGTTCTGATTAAGGCCCTGTCTCAGAAAAGGGAACCCCTGTGCACTGTTTCTAGGGGTGCAGATTGGTGCAATCACTATGAAAAAGAGTATGGAAATTCCTCAAAAAAATAAAAAATAGAACTACCAAGTGATCCAGTAATCCCACTTCTGGGTACATATCCGAAGGAAATGAAAATGCTGTCTCAGACAGAAACCCACATCCCTATGTTCATTGCTGCGTTATTCACAATAGCCAAGACATGGAAACGACCAAGAAAATGTGGTGTGTATTTATTCAATGGATTATTATTCAACCATAAAAAAGAAGGGAATTCTGCCTTTCTGTGACAGCATGGGTGGACCTTGAGGGCACTATGCTCAGTGAAGTAAGTCAGACAGGGAAAGAGAAATACTGTATGTTCTCACTTACATGCAGGATCTGCAATAGCCAAACTCATAGAAGCAGAGAGTGGATGGTGGTTGCTAGGGGCTGGAGGAGGGTGGGGGAAGTAGGGGGATGCTGGTCAAAGGCACCGACTCCTAGTGTGGGATGAACATGCTCTGGGACAGCGTGGTGACTACAATGTACAGTACCGTATTCTACATTTAGAAGCTGTTAACAGAGTAGATCTTAAATGTTATCAACACACAAGGAAAGGGGATGTGAGGGGATGGAGGCGTTAATGATGAACCTTATTGTGGTAATCACTTTGCAGTACGTACTGAAGGAGGAAAACCCACAAAGGGACCAGCAAGACCTCCCAGATAGGGCCATTGCCTTCTGGCTTTTGCGCTTCTGTAAAACAGCTTGCTTCTAGGAAAACAAAACTTACCCCTAAAATTCCATTGGTTCCCAAAAGCTCACTCCTGATTGGTCCATTTCTAACACCTCATTTGCATATGACATGAACTTAATTGAAACCTAAAACCTTATAAAAGCTTGTGTAAACCTACAGACGGGCTCCAGAGCTTGGAGTGTTAACTCCTTTGGGCCTGTTGGTACAGTAAACCTGAGTTCTCTAACCATCTGAGTGTCGCTTGGTCTCTTGACAGGATTCAGGTTTCTATAACATTTCGTCTGTCAAATCATCACATTGTACACCTTTAACATATATAGGTTATATGTCAGTACTATCTCAGTAAAGCTGGAAAAATAGGGAAAAAAAATGACTCTAGCTCAATCAGGCACGGTGTCCTGGCGTTTCTAGGTGGGGGCTTCTCAGCCATCCTGCCCTGTCCCCAGCTGTGAGTGTGGACCCAACTTGTGTTCTTCCCCTTACAGGGGACGTGGGTTTTTCCTTGTCCCTTCTACCTGTGGTGGGGCTTCACCAAGGCCCCAAGGGTAACTGAGTTTGCTGCCCTTTCCCAGCAGCTGAAGACCTTTAGTCCGTAGGGGATATGGGGACCAGATCCATGGAAGGGGCTTCTTGCCTCTGTTTTCCGCTTGCCTCCCAATAGCCCCACCCCACTGTCCACCCCGCAAAGGATGTCTTCTCAGGACTCTGCCTCCTGTCTCTTTTATGAAGTCCGTGCAGAACAGTCTGCACGTGGACACAAACGCCCCTGTGTCTGTCACCTCAGGAGTATTACATTTGCTTTCTAGCCCCTGCTCAACCTGCAGTGATCTGTGGAGACTTCCAGCTGATGCCTTCTGACTGTCCAGCAGCCTCTGCTCCAGGTAAGCAAGTGCTCACATCTTATTGGTCCTTGGATGCCTGTCTTTAGGTTTCGAGTTCGCTAATGGCCCTGAAAAAACCTCAGGTCGTGGATTTAAATGTGGTGTAAGTAGGTGTACACTTGGACATCGTGTGGCTTTGTTGTAGTTGCAAGGGTGAGACGGGTACTCTCAGCTTTCTACATCCTAAAGGGAAGTCAGAAGGATCTGTGATTTCCTGCTAATAAATAACCACAAGACTAAGACAGAGAACTCCATAAACTGTTCAGAGTTTCATGTTTTTAATATTTTGCAACATTTGCTATATTATCCTTCCCTGCACACCCCAGTCTCTCTCTCTGTGTATATACATGTGTATATATGTATTTATGTGTATATACACACACATATTTTTGATCCATTTAAGGATAGGTTGCATACCAGTAATACATCAGCTTTGCTGACCATTATGGCACATACATAGCCTCATGGACAATTAGGGAGTGTTTTCTCTATTTACATTCTTTGTATTATACTAAAATAATCTTTTACCTAAAAAGAAAAGAGTAAGTTGTACATACCCTGCCTTTTTACTCCTTAATACTTCAGTGTGTATTTCCTGAGAAACAGGCTATTCTCTTATATAACCAAGTACAATTATCAAAATAATGAATTTTAATTTATAATCTACAGTCCATATCTCATTTTGTCAGTTGTCCCAATCATGTCCTTTATAGTATTTTCCCTCCAGAACAAGATCCGATCTGTGGGGAAATACGTTGAGAACATGTGAATATTCTCTCCTCGTGACACTTACGCTTCCTGACTTAGTACCCTCTGATAATTGTTGCCTGATCAATCTTTACTGTGATGGTTTCAGTTAGGAATTTTCTAACTCTGTCAATCGTTCCGTATTTTCACTTGACATTCTATTACATTGCCAGAGTCATCATTTATTTTGATGCTCAGTTTGTCCCCGCTCTGGCCAGTGGGAGTCCCTTTTGCTGGCTCATGTGGCCATCGTTTTTTGAGCAGTTCCTTATTTCCTGGCATTAACATAAAGTGTTTCAAGCGCATCTTGTACCTTCTCTGCCCCTGCCCTGGAAGCAGGCATTGTGACAAGGGACCCTTTTCCTTTAGGTGGGAAATGGTATTTAGAAATCAAGATCTGGGTGTTAGGTGTATTCATTGTCATTGAGCTATTGCAAAGCCAGTGCTTTATTCTGAATCTAGCTCCTTTCCTCTGTAAAACATTTACAAAAGACTCTGAAATTTGTTATATCTCTAATCAAGGGCTTATCTACCATACAATCTCTTGTTTATATGGTTAATTTAAAAATTTACGTTTTGATCCATTTATAAAGAAGGTGGACATGATATGGGGACATCTATAGTTGGATCCATTCCAGAATATTACCTGAGAATTATGACTAGGTGATCCTTTAAGTCCCCACTGGATTCCCCTTGCCTTTGTTATAAGACTGGATCAATTTCTGGTCACTTTTGGATGGGAAGATTTGAAATATAGCCTTAAGAAGCGTTAATCTAATTATTTGAGCATTTTTTAAAAATATTCTTCCAGAATATTAGTTTTCCAGAATACTTAGATCATTTTCTGATCTTCTCCAGTTCATCTAAGGCAACTAAGCATTTCTTTCCTGAGGGGCATGTGATAAATGCACTGATTGGTTTAAATCAGGGACACTGAGATTTTGAGTACTTAGGAATATTCAAAATTCCTTTTAAATATACCTAATTCCTCCTAAAGAATCAGGAATTTTTAAAATATGGCTCTCAGAACTGCTTTTGTCCTGCTTAAAAATCTACCCTCCATAATTTTAAGTGGAAATTGCAACTTTGTAGTCACCAATACAAGTATAGGTGGGAAAGGAGACGACCTTTGCATATTAGAATGTTGGTGGGACGTAAAAAGAAGGAAGGCTGTTTCATAGGCTGGAGGAAGGCACAGAAGATGAACAGGAATTTCCAAGAGTGAAGCAATACTGTTTATCACGTTTTTCATTAGCTTTAGCCACAGACTCTTTTGGGAAACAATTTTGTAGTCAGAACTAAGCTCTGAACCTTTCTTATGCCAACAGAAGAAAGTTGACCTTCCTTGGTTAGATATTTTATCACTTTTTTGTCATTAAGTCCCCTCTGGAAAGAATAATCTTAGTCATAATTCAACGTTCTCCCAAGATACCACTATAATTCTCAATTACTCTTGGTGAAATTGTGCTATTTGAGAAGATAGTCTGATGAATAAGGACTGTATTGACCTGGTATAGGTGCAGATGCCTGTGAGAAACGAAAAAGATGAGAAATAAAAAAGATGAAGTGTTGTGTATGGCCTCTGTGTCCCCACGTCCTGACCGGTGGCTACCTGTCGTCAACACTAGGCATGGAAACCTACAGTCCCAGTGCAGGCATTTGAAAATAATCAAGACAGTTCTCAAGAAACACATAAGATAAGACCAAAGAGTATTCTTACAGGCTTTTGAAAGGTGGCCTAGAGCAAGTTTATCCAAAGGATTCCTATCCTTGTTCTTCAGAGCCAACTTGAATAGTGGGCTCACCAGATCTATGCCTGTCCTTTCCCAGTAGACTTCTTAGAGAAAAACAAATTAAAACAAAACAAACGGAAAAACTGAACAGGAGACAAAGATACAGGGCATTTTAAACCAAAGAGCAAAGGGTAGTAGCTATAATGAGAATCCAAAATGTTATTCTTAAAATCAGGAATGAAAAATAAACTCTGTGTCAAAGAGCTCAGCAAAGTTCAGAGCTCAGATTCATTGTGAAACTTACCTCATCATTTTTGGCAAGTGGCTTTAAAGGAGTGCAGACCCAAGGATTCTCAGATGTGCTCCTTATCACCACATTGTGTGTGGAGAAGGGGATCTCAACAGAGTCTAGGCAGGACCTCCAAATTGTTGAAACTAACCAAAAAGACCATCGAAGAGCTGTCTCTGCTGCAGCAAACCCAGTGCACTTAGCCTGCTTAAGCAAGGGAGCGTCCGGGTCTGGGAAGGAACGTCCCGGTCTGCCAAGGAGAGTCCCTATCTGGGAAGGAGCGTCCGGTCTGGGAAGGAGCGTCCCCGTCTGAGAAGGAGCATCCCGGACTGAGAAGGAGCGACCCGGTCTGGGGAGGAGCGTCCGGTCTGGGTAGGAGCGTCCCGTTCTGGGAAAGACCGTCCGGTCTGGGAAAGAGCGTCCGGTCTGGGAAGGAGCGCCCCGGTCTGCGAAGGAGCGCCCCGGTCTGGGTAGGAGCGTCCCGGTCAGGGAAGGAGCGTCCCCGTCTGGGAAGGAGGGTCCGGTTCTGGGGAGGAGCGTCCGGTTCTGGGGAGGAGCGTCCGGTCTGGGAAGGAGCGTCCCGTCTGGGAAAGAGCGACCAGGTCTGGGAAGGAGCGTCCGTTCTGGGAAGGAGCGTCCCCGTCTGGGAAGGAGCGTCCCAGTCTGGGAAACACCGTCCGGTCTGGGAAAGAGCGTCCGTTCTGGGAAGGAGCGCCCAGGTCTGGGAAGGTGCGACCCGGTCTGGGAAGGAGCGTCCGCGTCTCGGAAGGAGCGTCCCGGTCTCGGAAGGAGCGACCCGGTCTGCGAAGGAGCGACCCAGACTGCGAAGGAACGACCCGGACTGCGAAGGAGCGCCCCGGTCTGGAAGGAGCGGCCCGGTCTGGGAAGGAGCGTCCCGTTCTGGGAAGGAGCGAGCCGGACTGGGAAGGAACGTCCCGGTCACGGAAGGAGCGACCCCGTCTGGGAAGGAGCGACCCGATCTTGGAAAGAGCGTCCGTTCTGGGAAGGAGCGCCCCGGTCTGGCAAGGAGCGCCCGGGTGTGGGAAGGAGCGCCCGGTCTGCGAAGGAGCGACCCGGTCTGCGAAGGAGCGACTCGGACTGGGAAGGAGCGTCTGGTCTGGGAAGGAGCGCCCGGTCTGTGTATGAGCGCCCCGGTCTGGGAAGGAGCGCCCCGGTGTGGGAAGGAGTGCCCGGTGTGGGAAGGAGCGACTCGGACTGGGAAGGAGCATCCGGTCTGGGAAGGAGCGCCCGGTCTGTGTAGGAGCGCCCCGGTGTGGGAAGGAGCGCCCCGGTGTGGGAAGGAGCGTCCGCGTCTGGGAAGGAGCGTCCCCATCTGGGAAAGACCGTCCGGTCTGGGAAAGAGCGTCCCCGTCTGGGAAGGAGCGTCCGGTTCTGGGGATGAGCGTCCGTTCTGGGAAGGAGCGTCCGCGTCTCGGAAGGAGCGTCCCGGTCTCGGAAGGAGCGACCCGGTCTGCGAAGGAGCGACCCGGACTGCGAAGGAACTACCCGGACTGGGAAGGAGCGACTCGGACTGGGAAGGAGCGTCCGTTCTGGGTAGGAGCGTCCCGTTCTGGGAAAGACCGTCCGGTCTGGGAAAGAGCGTCCGGTCTGGGAAGGAGCGCCCCGGTCTGTGAAGGAGCGTCCCCGTCTGGGAAGGAGGGTCCGGTTCTGGGGAGGAGCGTCCGGTCTGGGAAGGAGCGTCCCGTCTGGGAAAGAGCGACCATGTCTGGGAAAGAGCGTCCGTTCTGGGAAGGAGCGTCCGTTCTGGGAAGGAGCGTCCCGTTCTGGGAAGGCGCGACCCGTTCTGTGAAGGAGCGACCCGGTCTGGGAAGGAGCGTCCCCTTCTGGGAAGGAGCGTCCCCTTCTGAGAAGGGGCATCCGTTCTGAGAAGGTGCGTCCCGGTCTGGGAAGGAGCGCCCCGTTCTGGGAAGGAGCGACTCGTACTGGAAAGGAGCGTCCCGGTGTGGGAAGGAGCGTCCCTTTGTGGGAAGGAGCGACCCGTTGTCGGAAAGAGCGTCCCTGTCTGTGAAGGAGCGTCGGGTCTGGGAAGGAGCGTCCCCGTCTGGGAAGGAGCGTCCCGCTCTGGGGAGGAGCGTCCCCGTATGAGAAGGAGCATCTCTTTCTGAGAAGTAGCGTCCGGTCTGGGAAGGAGCGACCCGTTCTGGAAAGGAGCGTCCCCGTCTGGGAAGGGACGTCCGGTCTTGGAAGGAGCGTCCCGGTCTGGGAAGGAGCGTCCGGTCTTCGAAGGAGCGACTCGGACTTGGA